CATCATGCAGGCAAGAGATGCTATGAAGAAAGAAGATTGCTCATCCCTATCAGAAGATTCCAGGTTCGCAGGGGAAAGCTCCACCAAGGAGGGATCTCCAACCACAGATCCTCCCCAGTGGCTGTCAGCCCGTTGATGGGGTCTAAGGGAGTGCAGCCAGGCTCAAACCCTTCCTATCACACAGCTAAATTACCTTCACCTGTGCTGCCAGGGCTGATCAGTCCTTTCCCAGGCAATCCATCAGTGGATCTGGCCGGGACTCAACAGTTCCCACAGAAGCAGTGACGCCATGGGGCAGGGACACCGCTGGGCAACACGATGGGGCAGGGACACAGTGGAGCAATGATGCTACGGGGCAGTGTTGTTAGGGGGGAGCAGCATGGGGCAGCGTTGCTACGCGGCAATGACATTTTGGTGTGGCGCTGTGGAGCAGTGATGCTATTGGGCGGCTGTTACAGCGGACGAGAACAGCATAGCGAGAAAGAGATACAGAAGTGGAACAGCAAAGGGACAACCAGGAAGATTGCTCACCGATCTGTGAACATCTCGGCGCACGGGGAGAAGGAAGGATCTCCAGGAAGGCCCTTCCATGGGATCCAAGAGAGGTGCAGCCACCCCTTCCGATCACACCGCTGCACGGCCGCTACCTGCGCTCCCAGGGCTGACCGGCCCGCTGCCAGGCGATCCATCAGTGGGCGAGACCGGGACTCAGCAGTTCCCGTTCGGCACGAAGAGCCCGAGGCGGCTGACAGCAAACGGCGACACGGGAGAGGATCTCAGCCGTCACCCGGGCGGCGCTTCGCCCCCGGGGCAGCGGGCAGCGCCTGCGGGAAACGCAGCCCGGTGCGGCTTCAGGCCGTGAAGCAGCGCAGGAAGCCGCGGGACGGAGCGGGGAACGATCGCAGCGGAGAAACCCGGCGGAGCGAGCGACGCGCCGTGACGTCAGCGCGCGCGATGATGACGTCACGCCCGGCCTGCAGCGGAAGCGGAGTGCGGACGGGCGGGGGGGCGGCACGGGGCACGGGGCACGGGGCACGGGGCACGGGGCACGGGGCAC